GCAGTAAGCAAAGAAGCAAGCCGCTCAGTTAAAGCCACGAGTCGGGATTGGGCGTCAAGTGTCAGTCCCTTCCAGAGTGAGGAAGAGGGTTCCCCAAGGACAAGACTCATGACCAGGGTCAACCGTCACGTTGGACCAATTTCGAAAATTTTACGACCCCCTCCCCCTTCTAGAGGGCCTCGATACGACCCCCCCTCAGGGTCAACCCTCACGACCATCCTCCACCACCCTCGCCTGCCATCGCCATCATGGGGCGATTCTATAGTATTTGATTCTGAGACCAGTCGACACAGCCCAACTCCGCCCACTTTTCCCTCCAAAATTGCCGTCGAGCGGGGGGGGGGAGGGGGGGTGAGGGGCATATACGGCGATTTTCGCACTCAAAAAACAACCCTGATACGCTCTCCGTTCCATAAAAATCATCACTGTAACATTGACGCTACCTCGCAAAATACGACCCCCCTCTTTTCCACCCCCAAATACGACCCCCACCCCTCGTTGGACAAAGTCCAACGGACGGTTGACCCTGCTCATGACACTGTAGTGACTCAAAAGTGCGAGGCAACGGCGCTAAAGCCTCGCCTTGTGCGGTGCTACCATCCTTACCAACCACGGCATACGTGGTCTCTGCGTCTCGCGCGACGACGTACTATCTCGCGTTCTCCCTCTCCTCGCAGCGCTGTGTCTCTCCGTCGTACTACGGCCGGCCTCCTAAGGGAAATTTAGTGTTTTCTATGGTGCTTTTTGCTTTTTCTCCTCACTAATATTCCTCACCTGCTGTCCAAACAAAATAACTCACCAATTCAATCCAGACTCGTACCTAAAACGTTGTTGGATACAGGACCATGTCAAGCGTAAGTTGGAGGAAAATTTGGAGAACCGGACCCTCCACTAGGCGGGATCCAAACCACCCTATAAGGTGATAAGTTCGCAATGGGAACGAGTCATGGAGATGAAGAGAAGTCCTGGCACAAAAATCCCGGCGTTAGGATTTGTTACATTGACATCTGCTCCGACTGTTTGTAACAATTATAAGGTTGCCAAAGAGGTTTAAAAACTTCAGCCGCTAAATGGGTTTGCTATGGCGCGCGAATGAGCCCCAGTGAACCCATCCTTCCATTGCTGGAGAGGTAGCTGGAGGGACGGTGGAGGTGGAGGATGGAGAGGGGGCCTGTGCTTGATTACAAATCGCTAATTTAATAATTTGATTTTTATAATTTTTGAGGACGATGACGGAGGAACCGAAAAGGCGTGTTCAGCTTTGCACTGTGATTTTGACGGTGAAGCAAAATTATTCCTAACATCTGTTCCCTATTAGATTGTCGCCTCTCATACTCTCGGTCAGTAATCATTCAAAAATACCTCTCGCATGCAAAAATGAAGCTAGAGGTGCGTCCATACCAGTTACAAAAAAAGGGAGAGCGGTTCAAGTGAACACTGAAAATATGGGGTTCTGGCACTTATGTCAGGGGAAATCAAGGGAGTGAATCACTTAGAGTACTTGAGATTAAGCCTTAGGGAGGTGAATGGCTGGAGGAAAGGTAAGAACTATTTGTTTTCTCCCAGGCCTCTCCCCTTCTTCTGGGCTTAGCCCGGTGTCACTTACCATCGATCCTGTTTCAAATATACCTCCCCCGCGAGGAAATGAACTCCGGGATCTCTTTTGATGCGGTGAACGCGCCACAGACAGTTCAAGAAACATCGCGCGCCGAAGTAGGAGAACAGGGTCGCGAATGAGAGGATTTAGTAGAATAGTTAGGCGCGGTATCACTTCCTTTCGACAAGGGACAACGGCAACCCTGCCGGGTAACCTGAGCTTAAAATGACAAGTCCCTGGAGCTCTTGCGATGAGCCCAGGAAGTGGCACCACTTTTATGTACGGTTGCGACTGCTTTTTCCTCTTCACGAGAGATGCCTATGCACTTGCACACACAAGAACTCACACGGTTAGCACGTTATACTCGTACTCACCGGCCAAGCAAACGACCGGTTCCTATCGCAACAGTTATCACATCACTTTAGGATTCAGATATACTTGAATGCACTGTTTCTCAAAGCAGTATGTCTTATTGGCATCAAGCGACTCAGCAGACCGGCCAGCTTCAACAATTTCCCGGATTCCACTCTGAAAGTTCTTGAGGTTCGTCTTGGAGTATTATTTCGCACTGCATTGTCGAGCTTATGCTAGTCGAGTATTTTACCGCTATCGTAGGATACGCGGCTGGGGTGACAGTGCACTCACAACCGCGTGAAACATCTCCTTTTCGTTAAAAACGTGATTTAGCCTTGATCAGTGGATGAGAGGCTCCAGAAAGCATGTTCAGTTTTCATTACCCTAAAATTCCTGCCGCTGTAGGCCTTGTCCTAGAGAACGCCCCGTATCTTGCGATAGCGTCTCGAATTCTAGCAAATCCGCAACATTGACGAGCTCGATCATCCATTAACTTTGCTATTTTCTGGGACTGGAAGCATTATTTTCCGCACTAGTGCTTCACCATCAGATGATGGGTGCAGATCTTCGCCAGATTGTTTCCATCTTGGTGACGAAGGCTGCAGACGTCAAGGCATACAAACAGCGTCCCAATGGATGGCATGCCAATCTGGCGTGACCGAAATTTAGAGCGCCCCGTCAGAGTGATTGGCTTATAAGCTCACTAGAAATTGAAGGGAATAAATCAAAGCAGATTTCGTATCACAATAAGGGCGCTATCTCAAGATAGGGGTTCATTTCCTAGGAGTGAGCATACATAGTAGGATGGGCGCAGGAACCCTCGGAGAAATGAAACTGCTCATGCACCACCTCTTTCTCCGCCTGAGATTCATATCCCAATCATAACAAAGAGAGATTAAAGCAGTTCCAAAAGTGTCGCTGTCGCTATGTCTGCCCCTCCGAAGTCCCACGGTGAACACAATTGCCGAGCGATGAGTGCAGCCCCGATATTGTGTGGCTAAACTATTAGGTTGTGGCTATACTAATAAATTGAGTCATAAGTAATTGCCGATTTCTTCATATCCACGCCATCTTCCCAAACGATGTTTGTGTTGTTCCCCGCAAAAGACTGACTGTGGCCACCTTAGTGTTTGTACGAAAATTCGAGACCGCAAAAAAGGCGACTTACGGCCCTTAAGTCCAGATCACGTTTCAGACACCAACATGATGTAGAGAATTGAACTCATGCAAGAGCTCTTGAAGAAACCACACGCAGTGACGTCATAACGGTGCAGACCTTCAGTTCTTCCAGTGCACCAAGTGTCCTTCCCTCTGAGCTACGGAGAAATTGTACATGTTGGGAAGGCGCAATTCTACGAGTTGGACGAGGTGACTCGAAGGACACATGGAATCATCCCCTGAGGGTTCGCTGCATGAAAGCCGTTGTTTCGATTGACTCGACGAGCGGCCATTGGGGTTAAGGAGTGTGCAGTCTACTCATGCAACACAGCGAAGGCGTCAGTGGGAACACCAATAGGTGAACTTCACTCGGGGTAGGTTCCGCTCTCCGATTGTAGGATTGCTTCATTACAGACTTCGTTCAAATTACTACTGTTGGCGCAGACACCTACTGGTTACAGCTGGACAAACTTGCCTCGGATACCGCAAAGTTGAGGCTTCCAATACATAAAACTGTTCCACTGCGCAGCAGCTCGCAACCCACACGAGCGAGGGAATGCCAGGATACTATACAGAGACTTGGCCTCATAATTTTCCCCCGATCTTTATAGACCACTGAGGTATAGAAACCAATCACCAGTTGTTTCGCCTGCTCGCTCGTTTCCCCCCGAACGAGAAAATCTACAAAGATCGCGAACACCTCAAAACAGACGCTTACGGGAGGTCTTTCAGGACATGGAGCGCTTTTCCAAAATGATTTCCTGCACTTTGTAGAGACTCATGCGAGGAACACAAAACCATGGTCCGTTTTTCCTGAACGCTTCTAGGAAGGTCAGAATAGTGGAGAAGAGATGGTCCAAAGTTCGATCCTCCGTGATGTCTAATTTTTGCAATTTATGTTGGCGCCTCCAAATTGTGTCCAAATGGCACCAGTCGATTAACATGTCATCCTCGTAATTTGGCGACAATTTGGAGGCTCCAACATGGATTGCAAAAATTTGTCACCACGGCGGATTGAACTTTGGACCATTTCTTCACCACTGTTTTGAGGTTCCCAGAAGTGTTCAGGAAAAATGGACCATAGTTTTGTGTTCCTCGCATGAGCCTTTACAACATGCAAGGAACCGGAAAAGCGCTCCATGACCTGAAAGACCCTCCTTGTTAGTTCTGTGAGAGAAGTATTGTTCCACTCACGGATAGATAGAGGACACTTGTGGACAGCTGAGGTAAATATGACACCCAATCAAGGCGGTTCAAAAGAAAGTTGTGAACTTTTGAAAAAGTTGGTCAAATCGGCAATTATTTGTTACTCAACCCAATAAAGGGTGCACACTCACTCGACTTCATTCGAGCATAAATTGTCAGCCTGGAAGATGGCAATTTGCGGTTCACTGAAGAAGACAATTTCTGTCTGAATTAGGAAGTGTTGAACGGCGAACTTGCCTCCACGTTCATGTCCTGGAGGGAAGGGGGGTTGGGCGATGGCGATGAGACATTCAAAACAGGACCGATGGTAGGTGACACAAGGACTAAGCCCATGAGAGGGAAGAAACGCTAGGGAGAACACATTCTGCTCATCCTCCCCCAGAGTCCTTCCCTAGCTGAGGCTTAGTCCCAAGTTCTGTAAGTGGCTCACTCACTTGAATGCCACTCCTCTCCTCAACGACATGAACGCCTTTGCCTTTTACTCCAAGCGGAACTATGTGTCTAACCAACTCACAAGTCTGTCAAACTGCATGAGACCGTACCCCAAGAAAGGCAATGACGAGGGGCTATTGACTCGGGTTAGGGAGAGTGTAAAATCACTGTGGAGGCCACTTCTGAGACCATAAAGAGGGGGGGGGGGCAGACGACTTTCAGATATTAGGTCAGCCGAAATTTTAGCATCCGGATGGCTTCTGAGGATGTCGCACATACTATTGAACGCGATCGACTACCGGTGGTGAATGACGAGATCACAGCGGAAGACAACCGATATCGTTTGCTTCAAATCCTTGGCGATGGTGGATACGGTACCGTGTTTCTCAGTCAAAACGCCCAGAAGTGAGTTTGAAACTGTGAATTGGTGGTCCCCATTTGATCAGGGAATCGTTGTCTAGCAGGAACATCGCCGTGAAGACGGAAAAATATAGCAAGTCGATGCTGCACATTGAGGTTAACGTGCTGAAAGCTGCGAACGCCGCTAAATGCAAGCATTTCTGCCAGTTATACGATTACGTGAGTTAGAAATCTCCGTAGCCATGCAGTCAACTTCCTTCAGAATCCATGTTTTTAGGGCACTTGCAAGCCGGACTACGTCTAGTGCCGATGACGCTGCTCTATAAAGATCTTCACAAACTGAGAGCAGATATGCCAGAAAGGAAGTTCAGCTTTAGCACTGCGCTTCGCCTAGCCATGCAAACATTCAATGTAAGCT